GTCGGGGGAGCGAGCGCCCACGCCGCTCCGGAGCCCGGCCGAGCGCGCCCGAGCCCGGCAGCTCCTTCCCGGCAGACACCTGATGGAGTCCGTGCGCCAGCGTGTCCGGCCGCGCGCGCCGCGCACGGGGACCGAAGGGGTGTTCAGACCCCCGCCCCCCGAACTGGGAACCGGGGGAAAAGTGGGTGGCAGAGGCTTTCAAGCACTTCAGCGTCCGCTCCCGGGTTGGCTCCTCCTGCGAGGGGCGGCCTGGCCTGGGCCCTGCTTTGCCCGCCCGTTTTCTTACCGTCCTGGAGTCCTGTTTGCATCTGAAGCCTAACATTGCTGAGGACAGCCAGGCGGTCAGCCTGGCTTGGGGTTGGTCCTGGCTCTTGAACAGGGCCAGGGCACTTGTCCCTGAACCTTGCACTCAAGGCTGGCACTCTCAAGCACTCAAGCCACACCCCCATTTCTGGCTTATTGATGGTTAATTGAAAATAAAGTCCCTCAGACTTTCTGTCCAGGCTGGCTTTGAACCGCTGTCTTCAGGTCTCAGTCTCCTGAATAGGAAGGATTACAGGCGTGAACCACCAGCGCAGGCTGTCTGCCTTTTACTTATTAGCTGCAGATACTCTGAAGGCTGCAGGCGACTTGGATGCTGCATTTAATGATCCCGTTTGGGTCTTTTCTTTCAAGATGATGTGCGAGGTGATGCCAACCATCAGTGAAGCAGAAGGCCCCCCAGGAGGAAGTGGGAGCCATGGCTCAGGCTCCCCATCACAGCCAGATGCAGACTCCCATTTTGAACAACTCATGGTGTCCATGCTAGAGGAAAGGGATCGTCTCCTGGACACGCTGAGAGAGACTCAAGAAACACTGGCATTAACCCAGGGGAAATTACATGAGGTGGGACACGAAAGAGACTCTTTGCAGAGACAGCTCAACACTGCGCTTCCACAGGTATGCACGTGTTCAACCTGAAACTACAATGTTCTCCCACTGTCTGTGTCTGGTGGTCTCTTGTTAATGTGTTAGCTGAGTGTGTAAGATGGTGGTTTGTGATGTTGGTAAACACACATAAAGTTACTTCTGAGAAAAGCTGGATGGCTGGGAAGGTGGCTCAGTGGTAGAGTGCTTGTCTCATGTGCATTAGGCCCTGGGTTCGATTCCTTAGCACGACATAAGCAGAAAAAGTTGGAAGTGGCATTATGGCTCAAGTGGTAGAGTGCTAGCCTTGAGCCGAAGAGCTCAGAGACAGCTCCCAGGCCCAGAGTTCAGGCCTCATGATTGACCAAAAAAAAAAAAAAGAAAAGAAAAGCTGGAGTCTTCCAAAGTCATGTGCCCAAAATCTGGGAAAGTATTTTGGAGATTTTATAAAAAGGTCCCAGAGCAGAAGTAACTAAGCTATGGGTGTCTTCCATTGTGTTGTCTTACATCTTTTCTTACTAACTGTGGACTTCGGTGCACTGTATCTCAGGGACTGGGTGTGTCTTTACCATTAGCTATATCTCGTGGATTTTCACTTTCCTAAATAAATACAATATATGAATTGGATTGGCTTCACAGAAAAAGTATTTCCACAGCACACCTTTATCAGAACACTTGTGATTTATTGCTCAGGGTGCATAAAAGACGGAACCTCCTTCTTGGTGCAACTGAAGCTGTTCTCTAAGTATGTCACGTTGGGCCCAGTGTCGTGGTGTTCTCTTAAGTATGTCACATTGGGCCCAGTGTTGGTGAGGGGAGAAAGTGGTAGAGATGAGTACAGGGTGAACAGCTCATGGAGCAGTGGGAGATGAGTAGGTTACTTGAAAGTTTGTGAGCTGTCCTGGCGGATTTAGAGTAGATGTTCTTGATGGTGTATTCAAGTAGACCTGAATAAGCCTGCATTTACATTCACAATGGGTCCCGGGTGATAAATTAGCAAGTGAATGATTACTAGTCTTAATGCACTTCTTGGCTTTGGTCAATTCTACTGAAAGATTGATAAGGCATATATTTGAATTTCATTTTTAGTAACAACCTGTTGTTCTATCTGCTTCTTTTTTTGTTGGGTTAAAGCGTTTTTTTTTTTTTTTTGGGTGGGTTGTGGGGTTTGAACTCTGGGCTTGGGCACTGTCCCTGCGCTCTTCAGCTCAAGGCGAGTGCTCTACCGCTTGAGCCACAGCGCCACTTCTGGTTTTCTAGTGGTTTATTGGAGATAAGAGTCTCATAGACTTTCCTGCCCGGGCTGGCTTTGAACTGTGATCCTCAGATCTTAGCCTCCTGAGTAGCTAGGCTTACAGAAGTGAGCCACCAGTGCCTGGCTAAAGGCGTTTTTTTTTTGTCCGTCATGGGGCTTGAACTCTGGGCCTGAGGGCTGTCCCTCAGCTCTTCAGCTCAAGGCTAGTGCTCTACCACTTGAGCTACAGCACCACTTCCGGTTTTCTGGTGGTTTATTGGAGATAAGAGTTTCACGGACTTTCCTGCCCAGGCTGGCTTTGAACCGCGATCCTCACATCTCAGTCTCCTGAGTAGCTAGGATTACAGGCGTGAGCCACCAGCACCCGGCTTAAAGGCGTTTTTTTAAAAACTGAAATTTTACAAATTAAAGTCTGTCTAGGTCAGATTTTAATTACCACAGTCTTATAAGGATTGGCAATTTATGTATGTTTTTTTGTTTGTTTTTGGTCGGTTGTGGGGCTTGAACTCTAGGCCTAAGCACTGTCCGTCAGCTCTTCAGCTCAGTGCCACTGTGGTTTATTGGAGATAAAAGTTTCACGGACTTTCCTGCCCGGGCTGGCTTTGAACCGTGATCCTCAGATCTCAGCCTCCTGAGTAGCTAGGATGACAGGCGTGAGTTCTGGTGCCTGGCTTGGCAATGTATGTTTTTCCAGGATTTTGTGGTACATATTTGTAAATTTCTGGTAGATTTGTTTTCGTAATTGTAATTTCCCCCCAGTCCGGGGTCTGAGCTCAGCACCTTTTGCTCGCTGTGTAGGTGATCTACAGCTGAGGCAGGCCTACAGTCCACTTCGGCTCTAGTTACTTGTGAGCTGGGGTCACACTTAGTGCTAGGCACTGCCACTGCAACCACCTGTTGGTGTAGAAGGAGTCTTGGGAACTTTTTTACCCACACTGTCCTTTCTGTAGGTATGCTTGCAGACATGAGCCACCATTGTCTGGCTATTGTAATATATCGTAATTCTGAAGTGTTTAATACTTACTGTCTATGATAAGGTAGTTCTGGGGAAGAATGGGCATCCAGGATGTGTGACAGGGAAGTGATAGAATTTTGTGCAGTTAGTCCTGGCAGTGGGTATTGGCTGAGTAGCTGGTTGCCTGGTGATTTGTTTCTGGCTGCTGCTCAGTGAAGCAAGCAGCTTGTAAATGTCTCTGAGAGTGGCTGACGTAGTGATGATGATGGCTCCCATCACACCTGAGCTCCTGAGTCCAGCATTTCAGAAGCACAGGAATGTGACCTCTTGAACCCTACCACGGTGACACCTGTGAGACTGAGCAGATCAAGAGATGAGATGTTATCAGGTGCCGGATTTAATCCCAAGAACTGTCCCAAGTTGTCAGCAGGGTTCTGGTCTGTACTGTTGATGACCTTTGCCTGCTGGTGATGGAGGTAGAAGGCTGTGTGTACTCTTTCTTGATCTGTCAAGGAGCACTGTGTGTGAGGATCAGCTGTGCTCTCCCCAGTGTGCCTGCTGTCCCACTGCAGATCACCCAGCACACAGGCATGCCGTGGTTTCTTCCCCTGGTCCTCATCAGGTTGCGTCCAGTCTCGGTTGATGCTGCCCTGAGTGTTCTTTCTTTCTTTTTTTTTTGTCCGTTGTGGGGCTTGAACTCTGGGCTTGGGCGCCGTCCCTGCGCTCTTCAGCTCAAGGCGAGAGCTTTATCACTTGAGCCACAGCATCACTTCCGGTTTTCTAGTGGTTTATTGGAGATACAAGTTTCACGGACTTTGCTGCCCAGGCTGGCTTTGAACCAATATCCTCAGATCTCAGCCTCCTGAGTAGCTAGGATTACAGGCATGAGCCACCGGCACTCGGCTCTGTTTCTTTCTTTTAGAGGGGTACAGATGGGTAGGAATTTCCACCAGGTTTGTTCAGAGGCGTAGAATTGCAGAATGATGCTTGCTCAACCTTGTGGGGAATTGTCAGAAATGACAGTTTGGCACTTTATACCACTACCAATAGAAGTGTGTGTGTGTGCGTGTGCGTGTGTGTGTGTGTGCGTGCGTGCGTGCGTGTGTGTGTGTGTGTGTACGTGCGTGTGTGTGTGTGTGTGTGTGTCCCCTCTCCTGGTGGTGTTTAGTGGGAGAAGGCTCAGCATGGCTGACCTTGTCCCCTTGTTTTTTTTTTTTTTTTTTTTTGTTGGTCGTGGAGATTGAACTCTGGGCCTGGGCGCTGTCCCTCAGCTCTTCAGCTCAAGGCGAGCGCTCTACCACTTGAGCTACAGCGCCACTTCCGGTTTTCTGGTGGTTTATTGGAGATAGGAGTCTCACGGTCTCTCCTGCCCGGGCTGGCTTTGAACCGCGATCCTCAGATCTCAGCCTCCTGAGTAGCTAGAATTACAGGCGTGAGCCACCGGCGCCCGGCCTTTGTTGTCCCCTTGTGAGAAGCCATCATGTAGGCTTGAGCTTCTCTATGTGATGTTCGCTGGCTGTCTTGTGAAATGATTGTCTCTGCTCATTTGTTGGTAGTGTTGTCTTGTTTCTTAATGGTTTGAAGGAATTGTTTGTACAGTTTAGAACATGTGCACATGGCAGATTATTTTTATACTCTTGTGCTTGTCCTTTCACTTTCTGTAAGTATCTTCTTTATTGGTGGTTTTTAGACAGGATCTCTATGTAGCCTGTGGTTGTAAACTCACTATGTAGCTCGGGCTGGCTTGCAATTCAAAGTCTTGAAGCCACAGACTCACAAGTATGGGGGTTGCAGACATGGACCACCAGCCTAGCCCAGCAGTATCTGTGCATCTGTGAAAGGTTTGCATTTTAATGTAGCTTAGTTGTAGTTCCAGAAATGTTTAGTGCTAGGCTGGGGTGGTGGTGTGTCTCAGTGGTACAGTGACTGGAAATGGATGGTCTTTCCTTTGCTCCATTGATGTTTTGTCCTCTTTGCACAGATCTCATGTCTAAATTATGGGGTTTGTCTCGACATCTGGTAATTTAAATCCTCTCCCTTATGTGCACGGAGGCACATTCTTACAATCCTAGCACTTGGGAGGCTGAGGCAGGAAGATTATGAGTTGGAGGCCAGTCTGACATACAATAGCAGGACCCTAAAAACAACCACAGAGAAGATTTCCTTAGTTAACCTTGACCCTTTACATTTTCAGGAAAGTTGTGGAGTCTGAGTTGTGTGTGGTGAAGTGCACGCCTGAAATCCCAGACCCTGGGAGATTGAGTGGCAGGGTGGTGATTTTTGAGATGAGTAAGGTCTGCACAGTGAGACAGCGTCTCAACAACACACGCCAAAGTAGAATGTGCTGGCACTCTGCAGAAAAAAGTGCTGGGATTTAAGTGAGATTGTTTTGATACATAGACTGCTGTGGGGAGAAGAGATGTTTTTAGTATTGATCTAGTCCACACAAGGAAGTACCTGTGTAATTGTTTGCTAGTGTATAGTGATAGAACCAAGGTTTTGCACACTTAGCAGTTCTTCTTTCCTGTTTTTCCTTTTCAAGTGCCCTGACCAGTCCCTTGCCTTGCGATACTGCACTGAAGCCTTCCGTACGTGTGGGTGGGACACAGTGGGGACAAGAGTCCTGTCTTGCTTGTGGTGTTGGGATGCTTCCGAGTCTTGCCCATGAATGAGATGAGTTGGCAGCATTTTGCATATATTCTCAAAATTCTTTTTGATTCTCAAGTTTGCTAAGTGGTTTTTCTGGAAATGGGCTTACTGTGGCCTAGGCTGGTCACAAACTCGAGCCTCCTGCATCAGCTTCCCAAGTGCTGAGTTAACAGG